TATTAGCGATCCAGACCTGCCCTGCCCCCCGCCCCCACTGAGGATAGGCAGTGATCATGAAAATAATGTGCTTGAATACGACGGGCGATTCCATAATTTCATTGAGGGTATGCTGCAGTTTCGCCCATCATACAAAGAATGCGTACTCTTGGTACTCTATTCATGTACAGGGCGGAGGTATGCAATCTATGGCGTGACTGCTCTAGTTATGAAAGGTTTTTGGATTTTTTTTGTACAACATTCGCAAAAGTTGTGAAAATTGTGGCTATGTAAGAAAATAACAGTAATACAACGTTGCAAAATGATAATATGATTAAATAATTATTACAATTGCTATAAAACAGAAACAACTTATGCAGCCACATTTTTTATTTTTGCATTCTTTTACATAATGATGATAATATCTATAAGAAATTGAAGCAAACTTAAAAGAACTAGCCTACCAAAATACACCATTCTAGGTTGCCTCACAAAAAAGGAGGGGGGGGGGGTCCATTTACTTTCCAAGCCATTGTGTAATTATTTCGAACTTAAGTTGGTTTTTTTCTTCATTTAAAATAAGAAAAAATGTTTTCAGTTAAAGATTCAAACCCTGCCGGTCTCCGCTCACGTGTTGTATGTAAATTTCTTTGCGCTGGCTGTAATGCCAGCTATGTTGGAGAAACTAACCGACATTTCTCACACGTGTGCGCGAGCATTTAGAAGTGGACAGGAACTCGCATTTTCAAACACCTTAAGAATTCAAGCAACTGCATGCACACTTGTAATGAGGGCTGTTTCCGTATAGGCTCCGCCCCATCAACTCATCATCTCAAAATCAAGGAGACATTGCATATCCAATCAGAGCAGCCCTCAACAAGCAACTCTATCATGTTTGTCATTCTGATTTCACTTCATTCCGTTTGTCGTTTATACATTTGTTTTTATTCATGATCTTGTTGTTTACAACTTGATACGGTTGAATTAAGTATAGACGTGCCACAAACTCTTCATTTCGTATAAATAAGATTACCTGTATGGAATCTCTACACACCGAAGGTAACAGTGGGATCTGCCGGAACATGTATGTAGCGTAATGGCTAGGCCTAATAAAGTATTCAGGCACTACCTGGCATGATCGTTATCAAAAGTATATATACTGTCTCTTATACACATCTTTGATAAACTGTGAAGAAGTAAGCCTAATGTATTATAAGTACTACTAACAAACATTCATACATACGATATTCAGAAAGGTGTATACATGTCCCCTGAGAATTGGTTATGACTATTTTAGATATTGTTTGTTTTTTCAAACCATGAAGTGTTGGGTCGTTTGGTAATATTAACTAATTATAATCTTACTGTTATTATGATTAGTAAAACAAATAATAGCCTATACTAAACCTACAAAGAAGTAATACGGGAACTCCTTTGTTCTTTAATCTAAAACATCTAAGTGGTGCTTTCACTTTCACATTATGACATCTTCTTACAAAAACATTAATGTCATTCTCAATAACGCAACGTACACGAGAAGCAGCATTCATGTTGCTATCAATAATAATTTGGGAGCTATTGTGCTGGTAATTAAGTTTACAAAACTCGGTAACAGATCTGGAATGACTTATTAATATGGCCATTGTTTATATTTTGTAGGTTACGATTTGAAAGGTTATAAACCAAATCTCGTGACTTAGTCAAGATGTAAATTACACAAGACATTTTGATTACTAGAGTGCAGGCATCGTTACCTATTTAAAATGTATCTCTTCTGAGATCATGTCTGTCGTTTCAAATGGTTAAACTGACGGCGTATCATGTTAATCTTTGCAGTGCGATGAAAACATTTCTGATTGTTTAGGATTTGAACCAGGTCATTGTGTTGGAAAGCCAACATCCTAACCGTCGAGATGCAGCTCCACTAGTTGAGTAGCAGTAACTTGTAATTGGGAAACCACGGTAGGGCTTTGCAAATTTAATGCGATTTCAGTATAACCCGTATAAGGGGCCACCTTCCGGACCAACGAAAGTGTCCCCCTGAAAGAGGTGTCCCCTAAATTAGGGTAGGTTGTAGTGTTAAAAGGTAATTAGTATCGTGTTGATTACTACTACGTTTCTTCTGTTTCTTATTTCATACATACACCTTACTAATCAAATAACTTACTGGATTATAGAATCAAAAGATATCATTAGTTGCAATTAAACTTATAATCATCGTTTAATTATTACTGTTAGTATACCGCCACCAGGGTCATTAATTGTAATGTTAGAAATATTATTTAGCCTCCATTAGGTAGTTATCTGTCTGTTGAACCAAAAACATATTATTTCAATAATTTTGCAAAGTGTTAGGTGCCCTTTAACTATCACCATCACGTTTAATAATTGTTTTTCCTTTTAGCACACGTTAACTTTAAACGCAAGTGTAGTGTGTTACATCGTTAGATAACAACGCTATTAATACAGCCTATGCTATCAAATTTACGTGTCAATTTACAAAATACAATACATATACTCTTATGTTAAGTGATCTATTCCGGAACAATCGTGCATTTGCAACATCAGGAAATATTTCCAGGCCTTTTGTTGAGTCTTTTGTTTTGAGCTTAAAAAACCGGTAGAAATCCCTTAGGAAACAGCATGCCTGCAATGAAAGAAGTTTGCACCAGACATTTCAGTATACGATGGACAATGCCCAACTTTCTGAACGTGTCAGAAAACACAAAATATAAAATGTTTTAAATGACACCATGGAATTTGCTGCCTTCAACAATAGTTATCAAGCAGTGTTTACTAAAACATGAAAGGAAATTTCACACTTAATTAGTACCTATAGTTACAGGTTTACGCTTGTGCAGGGATTGAGTATGACCGGGCACTGTTAATTGGCCCGTCATCTAATGTATTTTGAATCCAGTAGCTGAAAATTAAAAGGCAGTCTGTGTTTTGTCAATAATTTCTCATCATTGTCTTTGTGTCGTTAGCAGCGGGGGAACCATTTTAAAACGCAGTTTTCATCACGTCAGCTCGTTTACTCCATCGGCTTGCTTGTTTGGAAAGTGGATGAGATTTAAATTTTCATAACACTGATATCGTAGTGATTTTGGAATTGAACGTTTTCTAACGATCCATTGTTATTCATAGCAGCGACTGATTACGAAGCTTATTTTATTACTAGCTGTGGCATTGTGCTCAACGGTTCTGAAGATACGATGCGGTGTGTTTATTTTAAAATTATATTACCATATTTTGCCTTGCTTGAAAAATATGAAAAGCTTGGAAAAATCTGTATTAATTTAAAACGTAATGTAACGTTCACATATGGATCGTGTTTTCAATTAAATATAATGAAAGGAATTGATTGAAAACACGACTACAAGAATCTACAAAACATAATCATAATGTATAACAGAACATGTACTGTGATGCTGCTTTTTAAAACAACAGGATTCATGATGTATAATATAAACAAAATGCGGGAAACTAATTAATTACGCATCAATGAAATTAGTAAGGAAAACTAACACCTGTAATTGTAATACAAACAAACACAATATTAGAAAAATTAGGCAATTAATGCGGAAAAGGGTGGCGATTTAACCCAGTGAAACAATTCTGATCGATGATGGCATACTAAAGAATCACATCACGTGGCTGGCCAAAGACGCAGACACCCATCCCCCTACTCACACACATATTATATATATATATATATCATATATATATATATACATATATATATATGTATATATATAGACCTATATTTATATACCATGTACATATTTTATCTAAAATTTCGACGTTTCGGTCAGCTGTATGAGGGAGATTGCCTGACGGGTTAGAACTGCAATACATCGTAAGTCTAATAAGTATGATACCCACCTTGACAGCGAGAGTGTGTAGGTTCGAATCCCGCCAGAATCACTTTTTCATACAATTGAAATAAAGTAACTTGTCGTTGATGAGCTGCTTGCTACGAATATTACTAAATGTTCCTATTTGAGAACTGTTTTTATTTATTCATTTATATTGTTTACGGTTCTACGTAGCAAACTTCATTTGAATACTGTATATAGTAATAAAATGTTGGATCAAACCTACTGTTAAACCTCCTTTTTTTGGTTTTTGGTATATATACGGTACTGTATATACTACATATATATATATATATATATATATATATATATATATAATGTATAAGAGACTTAAATGGTATATTACAGTGAATTCGATAATTTAAGTATTAATCGAAATGACAAAATTGCCTAATACTCTACAAATAAATAGGACAATACGTTGTGTGTAGTGTCAATTACCAATAATGTACTTTACCAAACTCGTGCATGGTAACGCTACACAATTACCGAAGATATTACAAACATAAATAACAGTATCTAATGGAGTTTATTGCATCTGACATTTTCATCTTACTATCCATCGTGTCACGTCAAATGATAATATGAGTACATTGTTGAATGTTTGTAAACAGAGATACATGCATAATAATATTATCTAAATCACAATTGCTATTCACAGCCTAATTTATGCGTAGGCCTATTTGGAAACACAATCATTGGCGAGGAACAGTAAATCGCCAACAGCGATACATTAAAGATAACACTGGGGGTTAAAAGTGGATAGATGTACTACCATTAGAGGAACAATTAATATGCCTTGATCGGGAACCTGGGATTATTGTCGACACGTCCCATTGCCCGGTATTGCACGCTGTTCATCGTTAAGTGTTTGAGATGTAAGATACCGCGCTGGCCTGGATGCGGTTTAACTGCTTGCAGGTTTAGCTCGTCCTTGCTGCAATGTTTTCTAGCATGTAATTAATTTTATTCCATGATTTTTTTTAAGGAAATCATCTTAGTTATGAAAATAAATAATAAGCAATAATAGTTTATCATCTTTTATATGGTTGTTGAATTATTACCTACATGCTCAAAAATGTTGTAATAATATAATAAAAATAATAATATAATACTACTGTAATAATAATAATAATAGTAATATAGGTTTTAATATACGGTAATGTATATTTAATATGTAACAGCATATTATCAATAATGTTGCGTAACATTATTACAATCGGTACAGCGTCTCAGTATATAAAAACTCAGAATCTCCTACTAAGTAACAATAATTATTAAGTAATAATAATTAGAATTATCTCTAATTTCTTAAAATGTAAACAGAATAACGGACTAAATAACAACAAAATGAAGACAAAGGCAATTATAACCATCCCCGTGCGTATTATGTGTCATAGAAATTATGGAGCGTACAGTATGTCCCGGAATTTTATAAGCACCAAAGCCGCGTATAAGTGTGATATTAGCATCATTGAAGGCTGCGTACAATCTCACAATGTCCATACATCTGACGCCGATAGGCTAATATAGACGTTATGAATGTGTCAAATTGTGTGGAGTAAAGAAGCGTGAATACATACAACCCCTCATTTTGGGGACATTTTGCAAGGTTCACATTAACTTTTCCTATGCATAACTACGCACGAGGAGTGTTAACCTAAATGTAGGCCTACAAATGTTTGTTTTGTTTATGAATTAAGCATATTGAGTAAGTGGTACGAGTTAAACAATGCAAATACAAAGTGTTATGGAGTAACATTGACGTAAAATACAAATTGACAGGCAAAATCAATAATTAAGTCCCTGTTATAATCCTCTTCAATTTACTACCCGCCAAAATAACGATTTTGGGAGTTTGCAAATAATTTATTTGATTAATATATTATATAGTTTTAAAATAATTATTTTATTATTGTTTTGCATTATTTTTACTTCTGTCAATCAAGATCTGTATATTCTTTTTATAATTCATATTTATTTCTTATTTTCAATAACGAGGCATATTTAATATTTAAAAAAAAAACCCAAGAAAATGTATAGATCTAATAGAAAGAAAAACTAAGTTGCCAATATATGAAATAAAAGTCAAACATAAAACAGATAAAAGCTTTTAAAAATTTGGAGATTTTCACGGATGCAATTATAAAAAAAAGTGATATTAGGTGAATGCACGTCTTTTAACTTGCCGACAAAATTCACCAAATGATATGAGCACATACTAAATATTTTCCCGATGGGAACACCAAATAAAACCATTTACTTGGTTTAACAATACCCATGTTGACTGATGATGAACTGGCCCACAAAGATCCTTATTAATATTTGATGGAGGGTGGCATGTGCTAAAAACGATAAAAATAATAATGATAGTAAGACAGTAATAATAGCAATGATGATGACGACGACGGCGTTAATGATTATGATAATAATAATAAAATAATAATAATGATAATAGTATAAATTATTATTATTATTAATATGTGCCTAACTTTTATTTGAATAGTTTACACAAGTGTAAATTTATTATTATTGCACGGTAAACAACTAAAGTACTATAGATTAGGCCTATATTTTGAACAAATATTGTAAAATATATAAACAAAAAATGTAGGTATATGAATATGGTGTTTATTACCATTAACAAACAGAAAAAAAATGTCAGTAAAAGGCCAACATGAGACTTATAAATTATGTTTAATAAAATGCATTAAAATTAGGTATCAATTAAACAAAAAAGCAATAAATTCTCTAAGGTAATTGAAATTTATGATACGAACAGAGAGGGATTTCCAAAACAATTCTGAAATATAGAGGTATATACAGTTATATCAGGGAATTTTATCATATTATGATAGGACGGTAATCACATAAACCTTGGACAAGGAATGCTAAGACTGTGTATTACTGCTTGTTCATATGTCATTGAAAACAATTTACCCATTCGCTTGTTATATAATATATGTATGAATAAAGCAAAATCATTATTCAGAAAACATTTTTTTTTCTCAGTATAGCTCAATAAAAGTCCTTGCTTAAGTTTATTTTGATTAAATTTATCTAATAACGACCATAGTCTGGTATTCAAGTAACATCACATTGCATATGAATAAAGCAAAATTATTATTCAGATAATCTTCTTTTTTTTCTCAGTATAGCTAATTGAAAGTCCTTGATTAAGTGTATTTTTATTATTTTAAAAACAATAATCCAAGTTTATGGTGCGTAGGAATTAGTCATACGTTTTGAACAATAACCTTTTGAATTATCATTTGTTTGAATACTTTCCCGTTGTACCAGTATCTAATTGCACTTATTTTACCGTAAAACGCAAATGTCTACAGAAAATGCATGTGGTTTCTACTTTCGTGTCGTTTTACTTTAATATTATGTTAACGTTTCCTCACAATATCCAACACAACTACTATTCAACACCACTATTCAGTGCTCGTTATGTAGACTGTTTAAAGAACAAAAACAAAACAAAAATATTCATATTATTTTTCTTTTTTAAAATTCTTAAAAGCACCATATTCATATTAATACAATTATATACATTATACAGTACATCTCTATAGATAGTCCATGATCGTTCAATTATGACATGCTAAAAATCGTCTTTTACTACGAATGATGAAGAACAAAAAAATGCATGTTCCGGAATATATTGAGCACAGCAAACGAATCCGCAAGTTTTTGTGAAATTCTGGCCAATGCTGTCGGGTTTATTAAACATCCTGCACTCGGAGTTAGTGGCTGCTCGAGGCAAATGATTAAAATCAATTTGGAGATGTTAATAGCAATGCAAATTTGCCATCCTGTTGGAATGCCAATAAGCAGAAGGTAGGCCACTGCGCTATTTCAATTGCCTCCTACGTCGTTTAAAGAACGTTCTTTTGGAGTAATCATCATCTCCCATTGATATCATCAATACTTTGAATTAGTTGCCATCATTTTCAGAGAGAAGCATGAATGGTTCGGCAATAATCAGTCAGTGCGAAGAAAATCTCATTTTAATAGATGCGAAATACTCGTTAAACATAACTCGACAAACCTTAGCTAAAACGTGAACGGAACGAATAAGCATCGTACTTAATCAAATACTTATCATAGATGAAGTTGCGCATAAAAAAGATCTAGAGCAAATTAACTTTAGGAGGACTAAGATCGAATCTTTGTGAATAATTTTCAGCAAAAACGACAGATGTTTAGTGATTCTGTATTCATTCTGCAATAACCGTTGGTCTGATTTCGTCTGTAACCTAGTTCTCTTCCGCTTAAAAACGCATCAGTTCCCCAAAGCTCTTTAATTTAGAGGTAAACATTAGGGGGGTTAAGAACTAGTTGTTATCACCGTAATGGGCCTTTCGGCTAAGCCCCATCCCTAGGCTGTTTTTGCTAAGATATCAAAAAGCCTACGCACACAGTGCGTTTGTGGGAAATCACGTATGTTTGTGAGACAAGCGCATACTGATTGGTTAGTTAAGTTTGATTGACACTCCGGAAGGTTCATTACACTAAGGAACTATCATAGTGCCGACTGCTTAGGCCTATTGGAAGTTTGCAGTTATTGAATTTAATCAGTGAATTAATTTCACTGTTCCCTGGTTTAATGGTCATTACAAAATCATCAACTTCATAGTGTACATGAGACATTTTCAACAAAATATAGAAATTAAAAAGTGTTATATAATTTGTTTCATCTTATTTGTTTTAAATGTACGTAGACCGTCTTCCGTAGGTTCCATAACCTGTGTATGATCCATATGCTGAGCACGCGGATTTTCTGCTACCAGATATTTCAGCATAAAATGAAGATTCGCTTTCTGCCTCCCCGGGAACCTGTACTCCTACAGACCGTACCCAAGTCAGTCCGTCTGGGAGACCAGGTAATGGTGGCATTATACGATCCCTAGGCTCAAAATATATATCTGGTTGAGCGATGATCCTACCGTCCGGTGTCATCACACTTTTACGGCCAAACATGTGAATATAGCAAATTGGTATAAGTAGAAGGAATAAAAAAAGAACTGAGCATCCCCCAGCCAGTGCGAGAATAAGGGGAACTGTAAACGCTAGCCCTTGGTCTTCGTTTACTTGGTTATCAGACAGTGCGGGATCATACACTGAACCTGTATTATATGTTTTTAGTTGAGGAGACCTGATGACTAGATTTACATAAGCTGAAGCATAGCCTACTTTGTTTCTAGAGGTACATATTACTTTCGTTTGATTCAAATTCTTGGTTGGGTTAAGTATCCTCAGTATTTTATTGTTATTTTCAAGTCTAATTTTATCCTCGGGAATTTGTGGTTCAAACGTCCAACTGTATGTTAGTGCTTCTGGATTTGCATCTGCTTCACAAAAGATTACAGCTTCTTGTCCTTCGTTGATGGTAGCCGATTCTTGTATATTAACTCGCGGTTTGTACAAAACGTTTATTGCTCCGGTGGTACAGTTGTCGACAAAATTCTCATCTGCTTCTGTTGTCACTTGGCAGGTGTAGGTAGCCCGGTTATCATTGTAACTGGGCCAAAATTTGTAGGTATAATATTTCCATTCACTCTTGCCAGTTTCTTCCATTTCGTCGGTGTTTAGTATTTCGTTACCAATTTTCCATTTGACGGTAGCGGGAGGATTTGTGTTCTCGACACGACACTTGATAGTTGCTTCTGTACCTTCAGTGTATGAATCATCTACAATCAAGCACACTGGCTTCTGCGGAATCTCATTCACTATTAAGACAGCAGCTTCAGCTTTTTTAGTCTCTATATTGCTGTTATAAACTGCACATGCATATTCAGTGGCGTCAGATCTTTTAATGTGGCGTATTGATAGGCCGTAACGATTTTCGGCAGACTCTATTGTATATCTCGATGGATCGTCCACTACATTTGGTATCACCTCATTATATATATTAGATATTCTAATTCCTGATCGAAGCCATGCCAGTTCCATGCCGTCACCCAAATCCTCCTCAAAGATACAAAAAAAATATGCAGAACCACCTTCTTTAGTGACCTGCTCATTTGGATTTGTCGTAAAAGTACCGTCTGCCACTGCCAGCAAAGACACCACACACAGAAAAGTAAATAAAACAAAATCAGATTGTAAGAAAATCATGGCGGCAAGTTGAGTAGTCCAAATGCAGAATAGTCTGCCTTAAATATTGTGTATCATTCTTTTAAAAACACCAGTATTCAACCAGTCCAAATGAGTGATCATAATAATTGTTTATCAACATAACTAACGTCAAATCGTACCATGATTTTAAATTGGTTGCAGAAACCCAGCAGGGTTCATTACATATCTTCTTCTGAGTGCTGCCTTTCTAGTAGACCGATGTTCAATGTCGACAAATACGATAACAAACAATATTTATTTATATGCGCAATCATCCGCAAAACAATATAATATGCAATATCGGTTCATCAGCTGTTCGATATTATTATAGTCATCATATTTTCTGTAGTTGTAAGTCACCTTCAACAAAAGTGTTTGTTGTTTTAAGCTCAAACCCTGTCGTTCACAAATACCGCGAAGTTAAAAAGTGTTGTGCTCCGTTGTTTGTCACAAATGTGGCTAATACAGTGATCGCATAATATCTGTCACCAAAAAATGTGTATGAGCATCAGCATTTAACTCTTATCCTTAGACCTTCATGCCAGGATTCGAAATGACTCTGACTTTTTGCAATCCCCACGCTTGTACACCAAACACAATAATGTGGGATTAGCGTTCTCGCTCAGTGATTTCAGCTCTTAGTAAGAGCTCCGTTATTATCGATAGCTGTTCAGTTCACTTTGCAGCGTACTCGAACTGCTGCGATGGCCAATCAAGAACTTAAATATGTATCTCAGATTCTATGCCTTTATACTGGATATGTAAATACTAAATTTGTGTTCCCAGAGGACTTTTTGTGTAGCGTCGTGTATGTTTAATATACCACAACGACCAAATCAATTCAGCTCTGTATTATACGGGATGATTTCCCTGTGTTGGCAATATATGTTTACTGCCAACTATTATTGACATTATACTCAGGTCTGACTATTTTGAAAAATACTCTTGTTTAAATAAGCTACAATTGCAATCACATGCCGTATTCTCACAGTGCATTACAGTAGCAATACAGAAAAAAAGAAGACAAATGCTTCTTTATTGCTTAAAAGAAAACGAATAAAATTGGAAAAAGTGCTAAGGATTTTTTAATGTATAATATATGCAATTATAATGGAATGATTATTATGATAGATGCAAAGTGTTTTGTAGACCATTATTATTATTGGTTATTCTTAAAATTTCTTATGGTTTAAAAGAAAAACGAATAAACTTAATCAAAGTAGTAGGAATTGTTTTAATGTAATGATATACAGTTATATGTAATGATGTTATGGTATTAGTTATAAAGTGTTTTGAGGACATTATTATTAATTGTAAACATAATTAATTTCAGAAGATTAACTATTGAATCACAATGGATTGTATCACTTTTTAAAGAGTTTATTTCATACTATTTGATTATTGATTACTGTTATTATTAGCGTTTTTATTAGTAAAATAATAATAATATTAATAATAATATTATTATTATTATTATTATTATTATTATTATTATTATTATTATCGTTGTTGCAATAAGCGAAATACAATCCCATATTTAAAAATGATATTAAATGATATTTTATGCATATATAAACGAATAAGAAACCAACAAAATTATTACTGACCTATGTTCTCATGCAGACTACAAGTGTGGAGTACGGTGTATAACCATTTTACTGTATAGGGTACAATGCCGGGCGTGCTACAGGCCTACAATTTCTCTCATTCCATCAGCTACTAAAATACTCGGATAGTTCAAAAATAAAATCGCTACGTATATTAAAACGTGTACATATTTATTAAAAGTCCTTGTATTGCGACATACAAATTCAACCTATGACGGATTCTCTCTCTTTCATCTACATTTCGTCCCCAGTTAAAAAGCTAAGAAACAAAATAATATAGTTTTCTGGCCTTCAACAGGTGACGTGAGGAAATTAATGACAAACTATAATCCGAATAAAATCAATACACCGCACTTGATTACCCAGTACAAAACAGTCTGCTATCTAATTACAAACGATGCAAAAATCTCTTATACACATCTAGATGTGTATAAGAGATTATTATTATTATTATTATTACCATTATTATTATAATTATTATATTCGACTTCGGCTTGTTGAACTTGGTTGGGACCAATAAAGAATAAAGCAAACCAGACCAGAGAATGAAATAGTGGGTAATAATCGGCCGTTTATTCACGAAAATTGTAAAACACATTAACCCAAAAATGGGCCCAAGATGGGGGGCATACAAAACGCCACCATCTCTCATACATAACAAAAATTGAAAGAGGAGTAACGGGGTGGTGGTGGGAGTGTTTTAAAATGCAAACAATAAAAACGAACTTTAGATCGTGTAGGCGCCATGTTCAATAAATGTCGAGACCAAATGGCATATACCCTAACCTGACCCATATTACTCCGTCTTTACAAAGTAGATCCAGCGCCTGTGCTCTTATAATATTAATTAAGTTACATTTTAATTCCTTATTATTATTATTATTATTATTATTATTATTATTATTATTATTATTATTGTTGTTGTTGTTGTTGTTGTTGTTGTTATTATTATTATTATTAGCATCATCATCATTATAATTGTTGTCATCTTTATTATTATTATTATTAATATTATTATCATCATCATCATTATAATTATTGTCATCTTTATCATTATTAATATTATTATTATTATTAATGAAACTAGTAATAGTAATATCATATTTATAATGAACTGAGAAAAAAATAATGGGTGGAATATCTCAAAATATAATCTTCAAAATATTGTTTAAATATAACGTTATCATTCGCCATTTCACCTTGGTGTTTTTTCGTAAGTATTTGGGAACGTAGGCCTACTGAATATTCAGTACGATAATACACTCCTATGATATTTTCTTGAGGCGAAACACACACCGAAACACTTATTGGTCAGTAATTTGGAGTGTAGCTGTAGCATGGTGGTGCTTGCTTTACAATTTCAGGAACCAAAGTTCAAGTTTAGTCACTATATTTTTCTTTTCCTAACGACTAAACACAGCTTAACACATTAAAGCCTTCTAATCACTTCGACGACGATCATCGGCTGACGAGATTTCAGAGAGCGCAACGCGATTAGGTGCGTGCATCGGAAGATTTTTAATGACGATCAGCTCAAAATGCGACTGACAATCAGCAGACGGCGTCGTGACGTCAAGCGCTGAGAGTGGTGATGGATTCGTCAGTCGACGGTCGTATGACCGTTGTACGACGCAGGGTGTGTCCGGCCTAAGCTTTCAAAACAATTTAAACTACCGGTACCTAAATTAAATCCTTTCCTAGCCACTAGGACAGTGAAATCACTGTTCCCTGCTAGGACTTATAGGGATGGAGCTTATCCCCAGTTTCTGTAATGTGAAGCGGATGAGAGTTACCCCCCCCCCACCCTTGGACGGGACACTAGTCCATCGCAGGTTAGTCGCCAGCAGCTTGCTGATACCCATTGATACAGCTAGGTGGACAGAAGCAATGCAGCCAATGCTTGCCAAAGGACACAAGCGAATCTGCACAGAGATTCGAAACCCCAACCTTACGATTGAAAGCCCGAACCTCAACCGCTGAGCCAAAACTAATAGAGGGAAAAAAAAACCAAACAAAAACAATTTATGCCAGTGATGTGCCAGTCATTGGATGACGCAATTTCATAAAGAGCGCAGCGTGACGAGGTGCGCGCAACCGAGCGTTTTTAATAACAATCAGCTCAGTCTGTCATTGATAATCAGCAGACGGCATCACCTAAAATACCAATAGACAGAGTGTACTTTCTTTTGTTTTGTTTTAAAGAAATAAAAATGGCATTAATAATAAGACCTGTATTACTTATACCCATGTTGTTGAAAGCTAGGCCTATAATCTTACTTAAGTGTTAATGGTTGCAGTTCTAACATTGACTTATATTTAAGTTTTGAAGAGTTTCACTTGGTTCTGTAAAATTATAGCTGGATTATTTTTTTATTTTTATTAGAACCAACAGAGATAATAATAATGATAAATATTACCTCAGTGACGTTTCTGGTCCAATCGGTACCTTTCCTCAGACTGATTACATGTTAGGATTGGTCTTATCTTATATATTTAAGTTTATTTGTTCAACTCTGAGAGTATGACTGTCTTTAAATATGAATTATTGCCTTTGTTTGTCTTATAAACAAGCAAACAATTATAGTTATTTTACAGTTACCTAGTATCACGAATAATTCACAGTGTACGTTATCAAAGATGGCCGATGATCGGTAAGTATAATTTTCTTTTGTTTGCTAAGATAGCTGATTGACTGCTGATTATTCTCTTGTAATTGATTGTCTTAAATCGTACTTTTGAAAGTATCTTTTATGATGGCCATAAATTGTTATAATGCATAATTCACGGTATTATGCATTTGATATATGAGATCTATTCAACGATGTTTTGATTTGTATATTGCATAAATTGATGATCACATTCAAGGTTTTACAGAATGGAATATCTAATAATATATATATATATATATATATATACATCTAGATGTGTATAAGAGACAGATGTTTACATTTATATATATATACATACATACATACATATATATATATACATATATACATATATATACATACATATATATAATTATATATACATATATATAATTATATATATACATATATTTATTTATTTATATATATAATTATACATGTATATAAATATATTATAAATTATATAATATGATAGCGATGATGGAGGTGATGATGATGATGATGATGATTGGTGATAATTATGGTAATGACGACATGATGATGATGATGTGAGGATGTATGATGATGATGAAGTGGATAAAAATGATGAAGAGGATGTTGAATGGAAATAATGATAATGAGGATATTTAATGATGTTGAAATTAAAGTTGATAGTGACGAAGTTGAATATGATGATAATGATGATGATCTTGATGACGGTGATACTAATTCTTTATAAATATGCTACCACATAGTTTGTAGAAGTGCTTTGGCACAGCCGGAACGGTTCGGCTTGGCTTCTCAACCTCGAGGGGTTTAACTCCCTCGCTATTTCATTTCGCTTGTGTCCTTGAGCAAGGCACTTTATCTGCATTGCTTCTCTCCACCCAGGAGTATAAGTGGGTGCCTAAAGAGGTTCGAGTGCAAAATGAGCTGATATATTTCATATTTCCCCCATAGGAATCGTTCCATTGACTTTTGGTATTAATGTGGAAAAGCGCTCTGAGACCTAGTTGTATAGAGCGCTATATAAAAACCTCATAATAATAATAATAATAATAATATTATTATTATTATTATTATTATTATTATTATTATTATTATTATTATTATAGTTTGTATTGATGTATTGTTATTAAACATGCCTGGTATTTCCCTACGTACAGGTTAGATTTTTTGTAACAATTCCTTTTTGTTTTGACTTTCAAATATGCTGGTTAAATGTAAACAAAACAAACAATGAGGTGGCAAACAAACTTTAAGGGAGTATTTAATTTTCCAGAAATATTTTTTTTTCTTTCTGTTAAAATCATTGTTTATTCTTAGCTTCATTGCCGTCAAAGCAAAAAAAACACGATCTATATTTCTTCCTGAGGGCGTCTTCAAGCCTCATCTGATAATTCTCATGACAGACAAAGCAATCAATTCACTGAAATCG